CCGGGAGCAGCCGCTGACCTGTGGTGGCGTCGGTGGAGAGGGGGCCCAGGCGCTTGCGGCCGGACACGCCGTAGAGGTTGAACTTGTACCGGCGGGAAGGCGCCAGGTTGGGGACGGTGACCGTGCGGGATCCTCCGTCCACGGGCAGCGCCTGGGGCTGGCCCTCCGCGTCCTTGTACTGGAGGAGGAAGGAGTCGAAGGTCCCCTTGTCGATGGTCCAGGAGAGCAGGACGGAGTCGTGGGTGATGTCGGAGGCCGAGAGCTCCCCCAGGCTGGGCTGGGGGCTGGGTTCCTCCTGTGGTGCCGCAGCTGGAACAGAGAGAGGGGGTGAAGGGTGCAGCTTGCAAGGGGGGCAGCTCGCTGGGTCCTTTCAGGGCCAGGTTATTCCTGGGTAGAGACGATCTGCAGAGAGGATGAATTGAGGGACGGTGCAGAGAGACCCAGACTTTGGCCCCAGGACACGGCTGGATCCTGTTGCTGGGAAGGAGAGCTGGGCACAGACAGTCGGACGGGGCATGTCCGCAAGGAGCATCCCACATTCCTGGGTTCCCCACGGCCACCCCAGATCCAGAGCCACCGGCACACACCTGGGTGAGAGCCAAGCTCCGATGGGAGGAGAGAGAGGGAAGGAGGAAGGAATGAGAGAGACTGGGGCAGCCACAGCTACCAACTTCAGTGGAGAAATACAAACTGGCGCCCATTCGGCCCCCACCATTCCTCAGTCCCTCCGTCCGTCTGTCCGTCTGTCCACTCACACATCCACAATACTGCACTCAGCTTGCATATCTGTCTTCCATCCTTCCATCCTTCCACCCCCCCATGCATCCGCGCACCGACCCGTTCAAACGTCCCTCCCTCCCTCCATGTGTCCACCCTCTGATGTGTCTGTGATACATTTTAACACATCACTTCCTCTGCCACTGTTGAAAAGGAAAACAGCAGAAGGGGAAGGGGCCGGAGTCCCGGGAGCAGCCGCTGACCTGTGGTGGCGTCGGTGGAGAGGGGGCCCAGGCGCTTGCGGCCGGACACGCCGTAGAGGTTGAACTTGTACCGGCGGGAAGGCGCCAGGTTGGGGACGGTGACCGTGCGGGATCCTCCGTCCACGGGCAGCGCCTGGGGCTGGCCCTCCGCGTCCTTGTACTGGAGGAGGAAGGAGTCGACTTCCAGCCCTGCCCCCCAGCCAGGGCAGCATCCACCTTCCTTTGTTCCTCTCCATGGGGGGTGTCTGGCCACTGGTTCAACAAGTTTGGCATTACCTCTGCCTAGTGAGGTTTTCCCTGCTGGTTCTTGCTCCAGACAGCAGGGGTCACCACAGCCCAGCAAGTACCCCCACTACGTCACATCCTGGCACCAGGGTCACCCCCACACGAGTGACCCCCATAAACCTGGGGGAGAATTCAGGAGGTCAGGCTGAAATGCTACAGGAGTAATGGCAGCTGCAGGTGATTGCCTGGCTCACCCACACCCCTAAGACCGGCTTTGCATGAGGAAAGCAAATCAAAGAAGGTGAACCCTCCACAGCTGACCAGCCATGATTGAAGTGCTGATCCCAGTGGCTTCTGTAGGAAAGGAGGGCTCAGAGTCTCACGGAAATGTACCCTACAATAACACTAAGGGTACGTCTACATTTGCACCCTTGTTCAAATTAGGGAAGCAAATGTAGGCGACCGAAATTGCTAAAGAAGCGGGGATTTAAATAGCCCGTGCGTCATTAGCATGATCTTGCCGGCGTGTTACTCCGTTCAACAGCTGTTTCAAAAGTGAAAGTGCGCACCGGGATGTGTTAGTTCGAACCAAATCCCCTGGTTTGAACTAATGTTACTCCTCATTTTCAAGCTTTTCTTTCTCCTAAAATAATGAATTCCTCAGGGAGAATCAGCAATTTATAAAGGAAGCAAATAAGATAAATATATCTAGGAAAGTTGAAGACAACTCAACATATTTTCCTTGTTTCTGTTGCAAATGAAAGGTCATACTTGGCATATGTTAATTAAATATGCGAATGTAATAGTAATGGGGCTCCTTCCTTACTAAGTGGAGGCATAAAGAGAGTTGATGGCACTGAGATCAACTTTTTCATATTTGTTTGTAACAGAAGAATGCTGTGGTATCTATGGAATCAGGAGTTTTAGCTAGAACTCCTCCCTCTCTTTTTGCTCCAAATGTCATTATTTAATACACAAGTAGAATAATTTAGAACTTTAATGTTGTTAATTTGGATGCTATGGGTTATAAACTTGCCAATTCCTCTGATCAGAAGAGGGTCCTTGCGGGGCCCTTGTAGGCTCACTGGGGCCTTCCAGGGCCAGGCTATTCCCAGCCAGGGGAGGATCTGCAGTGAGCATTAGTGGAAGGATGCTGCAGGGAGACCCCAGGGAACGGCCGGATCCTGCTGCAGGGAAGAAGAGCTGGGCCCAGACAGACAGACGGACGGGGCATGTCTGCAAACAGGATCCCACATTCCACCAATGTCAATGGAAAGATTCTCACCGGCAACCAGAGTCCAGGCTACTCCTCAATCTCCAAATACGTCCATCGCTCCATCCCTCTATGCATCCATCCGTCTGTCCATCCATCACTCCATCCCTCTGTGCATCCATCCGTCTGTCCATCCATCCCTCCATGCATCCATCCATCTGTCCATCCATCCCTCTGTGCATCCATCCTTCCATCCCCCTGTGCATCCATCCATCTGTCCATCTATCCCTCCATCCCTGTGCACCTGAATCCATCCAACCCTTCGTCCCTCCATCCATCCACCCCTCTACTCATCCATCCCTCCATCCCTCTGTACATCCATCCATCTGTCCATCCATCCCTCCATCCCTGTGCACCTGAATCCATCCAACCCTTCGTCCCTCCATCCATCCACCCCTCTACTCATCCATCCTTCCATCCCCCTGTGCATCCATCCATCTGTCCATCTATCCCTCCATCCCTGTGCACCTGAATCCATCCAACCCTTCGTCCGTCCGCCCACCCATCTACTCATCCATCCATCCATCCACCCACCCCTCTACTCATCCATCCATCCCTCCGACCGCCCAACCCTCTACTCATCCATCCATCCCTCCGCCCACCCACCCCTCTACTCATTCATCCATCCCTCCATCTCTTTGTGCATCCATCCATCCCTCTGAGCATCCATCCATCCATCCATCCGTCCCTCTACACCGGCGTCCATCCAACCCTCCGTTCATCCACCCACCCCTCTACATATCCATCCATCCATCCTCCCATCCATCCATCTACCCAATTCTCAATCCATCCCTCCATCTCTGTCCACCTCCTTAGACAGCCGTCCATCTACCTGTCTGTCCATCTGTCCATCCATCCATCCCTTCCTCCCTCCACTCACCCCCATCCACACACTCCTCTCTGTCCAGTCAATGGCTGTCACTCTCTTCCTGGAGGCTGGAGCTTTGGAAGCAACTTTCTGGGAAGGTCCTGGACACTGCAACGCAAAGGGGGCGGGAGGGGAAGGGGCCGGCGTCCCGGGAGCAGCCGCTGACCTGTGGTGGCGTCGGTGGAGACGGGGCCCAGGCGCTTGCGGCCGGACACGCCGTAGAGGTTGAACTTGTACCGGCGGGAAGGCGCCAGGTTGGGGACGGTGACCGTGCGGGATCCTCCATCCATGGGCAGCGCCTGGGGCCGGCCCTCCGCGTCCTTGTACTGGAGGAGGAAGGAGTCGAAGTCCCCGGCCGGGACGGTCCAGGAGAGCAGGACGGAGTCGTGGGTGACGTCGGAGGCTGAGAGCTCCCCCAGGCTTGGTTGGGGGGTGGGGCGGGTGCCTCCCGCGGTGCTGTGATTGGAACAGAGAGGGGTGAAGGGTGCAGGCTGGGTTGTGGGCAGTTCACTGCCCAAGGGGACCTTCAGGGAGGATTCTTGGGAGAGGGAATGCAGGCAGTGCCAGGGACCAGCTCAGGACACAGCTGGATCCTGGAGCTGGGGACAGACAGACAGACGGACAGGGCATGTCTGCAAAGAGGATCCCACATTCCTTGTTTGCCCTTGGCCACGCTGCCTCCATGCAGGGGCTGGCCCAGGGCGACTGGCGCAAACCTCGGGAAAGGCGGAGCTGGGACGGGAGGGGGGAGGGGAGGAAGGATGAGCAAGAGAGAGAGAGAGAAAAGGGGGTGAACCAAGCCACCGTCAGTGGGAAGAGCCCCGCGGGGAAAGCGCCCCCATCCATCCCAGCCCACGCCCATCGCTGTACCACACGGACATGTGCGTCTGCCACCGCACCCAGCCTGGGCGCAGACAGCGCCACCTGGCCTGATACCCATGGACACAGCCCCAGGAGTTCCTCACAACACCCATCCGGCCACACTTCCGTCTGTCTGTCCCCCAACCAACCGCAAACACAGCCACTCAAACCGCCATCTGTCCATCCACCAACCAACCACAAACACATCCCCCTGCACTTCCGTCTGTCCGTCCACCCAAACACAAACACAAACACTCGCACTTCCGTCTGTCCGTCCACCAACCTACTGCAAACGCAACCACTCAAACCGCCGTCTGTCCGTCCACCAACCAACCGCAAACACAGCCATCTGTATTTCCGTCTGTCCGTCCACCCAAACCCAAACACCACTGGCACTTCCATCTATCCGTCCACCAACCTACTGCAAACACAGCCACTCAAACCGCTGTCTGTCCATGCACCAACCTACCGCAAACACAGCCCCCTACACTTCCATCTGTCCATCCACCCCAACCCAAACAGCCACTGGCACTTCCAACAATCCATCTATCCAACCACAAACACAAACACTCGCACTTCCGTTTGTCCATCCAACCAAACCCAAACACAACCACTCGCACTTCCATCTACCCATCCACCCAAACCCAAACACAAACACGAACACTTCTCACTGTCTATACTTACCGAAATCGACCACACACCTTTCTGCGTGTAACTCCATCTATCCCTTCATCCTCCCATCTTAGCGCCTTTCCCCATCCATCCATCCATCCATCCATCCATCCATCCATCCATCCATCCATCCATCCATCCATCCATCCATCCATCCATCCATCCATCCATCCATCCATCCATCCATCCATCCATCCATCCATCCATCCATCCATCCATCCATCCATCCATCCATCCATCCATCCATCCATCCATCCATCCATCCATCCATCCATCCATCCATCCATCCATCCATCCATCCATCCATCCATCCATCCATCCATCCATCCATCCATCCATCCATCCATCCATCCATCCATCCATCCATCCATCCATCCATCCATCCATCCATCCATCCATCCATCCATCCATCCATCCATCCATCCATCCATCCATCCATCCATCCATCCATCCATCCATCCATCCATCCATCCATCCATCCATCCATCCATCCATCCATCCATCCATCCATCCATCCATCCATCCATCCATCCATCCATCCATCCATCCATCCATCCATCCATCCATCCATCCATCCATCCATCCATCCATCCATCCAAGACCTGCAGAGAGAACGGATGTGGGGAGGGGACAGGGAGCCCCAGACACTGGCCCACAACACATTCAGATCCTGCTACAGGCAAGAATTCAGGAGAGACAGACAGAGGGGGCATGTCTGTGTGACGGCGCGTTGGGGGTCCTCCGTCTCCTGCACCCCGAAATGGCACAAACAGACTGCACCAGCCGGTGGAATAGAGGAAGTTTATTGCCTCTCCAGGGTACAGCACAGCACAGATGGAATCTGGCCACAGAGCTGGGCTAGGATGCCTCAGGCCCCCTTGAGATGGGGGAGACTGGGCCCCTAAACTCCAGCCCCTTTCCCTAGGCTGTCTCCTCCATACTCCCAGACAGCAGAGGTCACCACAGCCCAGCAAGTACCCCCACTACGTCACAGTCTGCAAAGAAGGTACTGCGCTCCATGGGTCCCCACAGCCTTCCTGCCTCCGTGCCGGGTTGGCCCAGAGGGACCAGCACAAACTTCAGTGCGGAGCTGGGGCAGGAGCAGCGAGAGGGAAGGAAGGAACGAGAGCGAAAGAGAAGAGGGTGAACCAAAGCCACCAGTGTCAATGGAAAGATCCCCATAAATGCCTCTCCCCACTGCCTCTTTCCATCCACCCGTCCGTCCATTCACCTACCGTCCATCCATCCACTTATGCATTTGCCCATCTATCCATCCACCCATCTATTTATCCATCCTTTCGTCTATCCATCCGTGCACCTGCACACTTGTCCATCCATCCATCCATCCCCGAACATATCTATCTATTCTACCATCTGTCTGTCCCTCTCATCCTTCCCTCTCTCATCCACCCACCACCTCTCTGTCTGTCCATCCACCCACCCACCCATCCCTGCGTCTACAGCCAGCAGTCTAGTTGAGGAGGCTGGAAGGTTCAAAGTATCTTCATGGCAAGATCCTGGCCCATTGATCTGCGTCCATGTCACACTGCAAGGCAAAGGGGACGGGAGGGGAAGGGGCCGGAGTCCCGGGGGCAGCCGCTGACCTGTGGTGGCGTCGGTGGAGAGGGGGCCCAGGCGCTTGCGGCCGGACACGCCGTAGAGGTTGAACTTGTACCGGCGGGAAGGCGCCAGGTTGGGGACGGTGACCGTGCGGGATCCTCCGTCCACGGGCAGCGCCTGGGGCTGGCCCTCCGCGTCCTTGTACTGGAGGAGGAAGGAGTCGAAGTCCCCGGCCGGGACAGTCCAGGAGAGCAGGACGGACTCGTGGGTGACGTCGGAGGCCGAGAGATCCCCCAGGCTGGGCTCAGGGGCAGGTTTTGCCTCCTGCGGCTCCGCGGCTGGAAGAGAGAAGGGGGTGAAACTGCACCCAGAAGGGGAAGGTGCCCCTGCCGTCCGTCTGTCCATCCATCCCCCTGCATATCTACACTCCTGCTGTCCATCTGTCCGTCCATACCCCTACATAGTGACCCAGCATTTCGTCTGTCTGTCCATCCACTCCCATACATAGCTACCCAGCATTCCATCCACTTCTATAACCGTCTGTCCGACCCCATACATAGCTAAGCTCCCTTCTGTCCACCCATCCGTCTATCCACCCCCATAACCACCTACCCACCCTTCAGTCTGTCCGTCCATCCCTCCACCCCCATACATAGCTACCCAGCCTTCTGTCCGTCCATCCGTCGCCATACACATGTACCACACTTCCATCAGCTGTCTATCCATGCCCATAGATCCCTACCCATCCTTGCATCCGTCCCTCCAACCATCTCCCCCCATACGTATCTATCCACCCTTCTGTCTGTCCATCCCTCCGTCTGATCCTGTAGACAGCCATTCATGTACCTATCTATTCACCCACCCGTCCCCATACACGTCTCTCCATTCTCTCAGCCAGCGTCATGCCCAGTAACCCCCTGCCCATCCACCCACCCATCTTCCCATCAGTCCACCCAGGCCCCACTGTGAGACAAAGGGGGCAGGAGGGGAAGGGGCCGGTGTCCCGGAAGCAGCCGCTGACCTGTGGTGGCGTCGGTGGAGAGGGGGCCCAGGCGCTTGCGGCCGGACACGCCGTAGAGGTTGAACTTGTACCGGCGGGAAGGCGCCAGGTTGGGGACAGTGACCGTGCGGGATCCTCCGTCCACGGGCAGCGCCTGGGGCTGGCCCTCCGCGTCCTTGTACTGGAGGAGGAAGGAGTCGAAGTCCCCGGCCGGGACGGTCCAGGAGAGCAGGACGGAGTCGTGGGTGACGTCGGAGGCTGAGAGCTCCCCCAGGCTGGGCTGGGCGCCGGGTTCTGCCGGGGCTGGAAGCGAGAGGATGGGAGGGAAGGTCCCGTAGTTCTGGGTCTGGGCAGGGCCAAGGGGGTAGATGGGGCTAGCGGAGGTGCCTTGTTGGGGGTCGCACCAAACCGTCTCGAGACTGGGGAGGGAGCAGCGGGGTGGGATTGCTGGGTGCGTCTGTCTGCCGCCTGTCCCC